CCAATGCCTGGATGATAATTGACTGTCCTTTTTGTGCCCTGACTTTGACCCCCACACCAAAGCTATTTGCCCAGGGCTGAAGCCTTTATTCTGCAACCCGCAGTGTTTGCTAATGCCAGATGGGTTTTACTCTCTTTGAACACATTAACCATAAGGGCCCTGAATACAGAAACCAAGTCCTTTCCTGGAACTGTGCCCAGGAGGGATCAAGAAAGCACCTAATGAATTCAAAGTTATAGGGAGCAAGCCCAAGACAGTAGACCCTGGGAAGGTACCCACCGAAGCTGATGGGTCGCAAATCACACACACACTCCAACAACTTTCATCCAAAGCAGCCTTCCATTTCAAGAGCGGAATCTGCTGTCAATATGTAAAAAGGTACTATACATATATAGGAGTCCTTTGACCAGCTGGAAGATTTTCTTCATGAAATCCCAAGGAACATTTCTCAGTTCAGTAATTCCTATCTCCCCTGTAAGTATGGAATCAGAAAATCCAAGCTTCAGACTCTGTCTTGCACATTTTATCAGGATCTTAAAGCTGAGATGCTATGGAATGTAGGGCTGGGGATGTGGCTCTGTGGACAGCAGCACGCACAAGATCCTGGGCTGAGTCTCCAGTGATGGGTGTAGCGGTGTGTGCGTGTAAGCCCAGCACCTGAGTGCTGGAAGAGGGTGGGTCACAAGTTCAAGATCATCCTCAGCTCCACCCTGAGTCTGAGGTCAGCCTGGGCTTAGAGACTTTGTCTCAAAAATCAGAAGAAAAGCCTGAAGGGTTGACGCCTGCCCCCCTGGCCATTATTTGACCACCTAGCAGAGGGTCTTCAGAGAGAAGTAAGAAGAACATGTAAATGAAGCACTTCCACCTAGTCTTCATTTGGAGTTTGCCCTCACTAAATTTCTTTCCAACTGTGTGGGAAAAGAATGAATGAATGAATGAATAAATAAATAAATAAATAAATAAAAATCCCAAAGTTTAGCAAAAACTGCAAGATATATAAAGGATAGAAACCAGAGTATAGAACAAAGAACCTAGAAACCAAACCCCAGATTAAGGCAGAAATAGAAGGCAGAATTGTTAAAGCCAGTAGACACAGAACACATAGGTGATGGCTTTGGGGAGAAGCAGTTGATTTCTTCGACTGGTGAAGAATGAAGCTGGTAACAGGCAGGCAAGAATGAAATGGTAGCTGCAGAAGACCCTGGGGTAAAGTGCCAGGTTCTTAAAGCACATGTGAGGAAGGGCAGAAGTATGTATATTCAAACACGGAGACAGGGCACCCAGTCTAAAACCATGTTAAAAGAAGCACCCCCTGATGCTTCCTGCCTTGGGGAACACAGGTGTATTTGCACTTCTGCAGGGCTCCTTCATGTCCTAAGGGGGTCTTCCAGGTGGGAGAGAATGCTCAAGTGTCCTGGGGCAAGAAAGAGACTGAGGGGTCAGCACAGCTGGCAGAAAAGAATGTACAGGAAGAAGGCAAGAAGCTTGGAGGTGAATAGCATGTGATTCATGTTGGGGCAGAAGAGAGAGGAATCAGCTTTAGGACTACACAGAAAGAGGAGGATGCTCTGGCTTCCCGAACTTCTAATTAGTCTTTGGAGTCGTCCTCTCACAGAAACCTAGAGTTTTGTTCCGAACTGGCAGGCTGTCCTAATGTTTCAAATATTGTCCATGGAAGACCCTTGTATTCATCGTTCTCTAAGGTCTTGAGAAGTTGCTAGCACCTCGCAGTCATCAGTAATGAATAATCACTGGCTCAGTGAGTCAACCATGTTCCCACATGAGGGATATGTCTTACATTAATTAAAACGGGAGTCAATAATGTGCAAAATTTAGCCTATATTTTCTTTATTACTGCCATTTGGCAAATTGAGAGTGAGAGCTCTTGCAATTCAAATCTTCCTCTGAGGAAAGTTTAGCAACTATTAAGATAGATCTTGGCAGCTCCTCTTGGGTCCCCAAGGCTCACTAAGCATTTGAAGAGGACACAGGCTTTTCTCCCGGTGGCTGGTGAAATAACCTGTGTCCACACATGGGAAGAAGTTGTCCTGTCTATTACAACCAGGAAATTCTATACTGAGACTTAAAATTGGTGCTCAGTGAGGCTCAGCGGCAGGCAGTCTGACTTCCTTTCATATGGCTCTAGCTTTACGTTTATGTTTCAGGAGTGTGTGTGTTTGTGTGTGTGTGTGTGTGTGTGTGTGTGTGTGTGTGTGTGTGTGTGTATGTTCGTGTGCATGCTACAGAATGGCCTTGTTGACTCTTCTGCCAGGAAAGAACTGAGCATCAAGTGGAAGGGGAGGCTGAGGTGGGGGTTGTGGGTCAGAGAGAATTAGGAGTCAGAGGGCTGTCGTGGGCCACTGTCCTACTGTGAACTGTAGTCTGCTGGAGTTGAGCTGATGGGTGAGAATATATGACCCTGGGGATAGCTGGCAATGACCTTTAGCTAACCCACACATTTACATAATAATGACATGAGCCTTGGGGGTCCCAGGCTGTGACTCTGAACAGAATAGACACTTTTTATTTAAGCCAGGGTTGAGGATGAAGTTTGAAGTCTTAGTATAAGGCCTTCAGATCTCTGAGTCCTGCACTGACCAGCATTTCCAGCCATGCCCTCAGCAGCACAGGTGCCTAACCTCTCAGTTCGTCAAGCCCAGATGATGAAACCAAGTCCAGGGGTGTGGCTGTCATCTGGCAAAGTCATCTTTTCAGAACCAGCTATCCTTGTTGCTTATGAGCATTTATACATAAACTCTTGCTTTTATTCTCCATGGTGACATCCCCCAACACCTCAGAAACCAGCTCGTATTTACAGAGAATAATAGCAGGCCTGTGCCCATGGCCAACACACCTTCTTCTGTGTATGGCTGATATGTGGTTAATCTTCTATGACCTCAGGAGCACATTCTTTCCCCTGCTTTATCAAACAGGCTCAGTGAAGCCATGCAGCAACCCTCTGGGGACGATGTCCAGTTGCCTCTTGGTGTAACATTTTAGTTTATGCCAAGTTTTCACACAATTACAAATTCCTCCAACCCATGAACCTGCTGTTGTGTTTGTCTCCATTTTACACACTCTGACCTACCTGCCCATGTTACACGGTGCACGGATAGCTGAATTGTTCTTCAGCCATTTGTCCTTCTACGCTCGGTCCTGTGCTTGCCTCCGTGAGATCATAGAAAGAGCAGACATTCCCTCAGACACAAATTACTGGACATATCAGATTTCCTTATATCCACCGCCAAATATATCTTCTTCTAATTCTCCCTTTCCCTCTAGCTCAAGGAAAAGCCTGGTTCGTTATGTGTCCCTAAACATTCTCTCCTTCATCTCTGGGCGCCATTATTTATCCCTGTATTTTACGTTCAGTTCTACTCAGGCAGCTGTCAATTCTCTGAACTCCAGTTGTTTTGAACACTTACTGAGCGTCTCTACCTGACCTCATCCCCTTCTGTGTACACGATCCCCGTGCACACACCCTTCCAAGCCACAGCTCATCCGCAGTGAGACCTGTTTCTGGAATTATCTGTATACTTCTTTATCTCGATGTCCCTGCTTGTACAGGTAGGAGGGCTCCCATTTTCTTTGCTTTAGAAATTCTATTCATCCTTAGTTCTATCCCTTCTGCTCAACTGTCATGCCACTATGAATATTTCCCACCTCTTCAAATCACATCTAATGGCTATTTGCTGTGTTGCTCAGTATTTCGTGTACTGGATAACACATCACTCACCACATGAGAAAGTTGCCCCAGTCTCTCAGTTTATAATCTGCCCACACGATGAACATGAGAGGGTTTTACCTCTCACCAAATCCTTTATGCATAAGCATGACCCATGGCTTTCTGTTCATTGAAAGAACAAGTGGAAATCCAATTCCTGCTCTGATTTTTCAACAGATCTCAAGGAATAATGACCTGATTTCTTAGTCTTTAGTATTTTCTTGGGATTTGTTTTGCTTGCCTTGTGAAAAATATTGAGCTTCAGATTAAAGAAATTACTGCTCTATGGTATCATCCGAACGCTAAGAGCATATAATTTTCCTATGTAAGTAAATATAGTGTCTTATCCAGAACAAGATCAATGCTGTGGAAAGGCATCAAAACCGAAATTTATACGTGTTAGTTTTTTTTTTTTTTAAAATAGGACTTGATCCTTTTCTATAAAATTGCTCCTGGGGCATGGTGGTTCATGCCTGCAATCTCAGCACAGAGAAGTTTGGGTGCGAATACTCTGAGGTCTTTTGGAGGCATATAGTGGGTTCTGAGCCAGCCTAGGATACTTAGCAGAGTCTATCATAAAAAGAATGTATGTTCATATATCCCACAACAGTGAATTTCAAGGCTTGAAGCTGCAGGAAAGAGTGAATTATTCGAGTCAGGATTTATGGAAAGCAATGTAACGTCATTACTTTCAGTACTACGATCGGCCAATAAAGTCTAAGGACACATTTACTTAATGACATGGATCCTTACTTTGTAGCTGGATCTTTTTGCCTAAACAGCATGATACGCCTGAGCCGTGAAAAGATTTTCACATGAGTTGCATGCCATCTCCTTCTGTGCCCAGCCAATCCATTCCTTGCAGGCCATCCAAATAAAATTTCAGACTCGTCTAGACCAAATGATGTGTAGTAGTAATGTCTGAATTGATTAGGTTTTACTGGATTCACAGAAGAAGGCATTTTGAAAACTTAAAAATTATAGTTCAATGCCTTAGGGAAATGGTATATAGTTTAAAATAAAAATAGAAAATAGTATTTTTTGCAAATATGACAAATTCTTTTTCTCAAGTTGCAAAAACATCTGCAATACCTCTGGGTTCCTTGGTAACTCCTTTTGGATTTGGGTCCTGGTCTGCTGCCCCCGCCCCAGACTTTCTGAAGTAGTGGCACCTAGGCTGTGGTTTCCGGTGCTCACTGTCACCAGACAGACACTTAGTGAGGTCTGCAGATGTGCCGCTTGCCCTGTTTGGCTAATAGAGGAGGCCGTTACTCACCCATCCTGGACACACGCTGCAAGGACTGTATGGGCCGCCATTCTGCCAAGCAACAGAAAGGACATTTCTACATCAGCACCACAGCCGAAGGCATTTACACAACTTCCCACAAGAAGATGACTCCGAGGCTCTGATGGTACAGGGGAGGGAGTCATAAAACAAAGCCTGTCATCCCCTGAAAAGGTGACAGGCTAGGTGTTCCTTAGGTTATCTGGCATTACTTTCAAACTTTGCCACACTCAGACATGTCTGTGTTTACCACCCCTGCATCAGGCAGGAAGCTGGGAAGCTGGAGCTGGAAGTGGCCACCCCAGGGATGAGGATTTCCTTGGAGTTAGCATTTTACTCCAAAATCTACCTGCACATTAATCTATGATTGTATTATCAACCAAACTCTAGGGCAGACCCCATGCCCAGGAGTAGTTGGCCAACACAAAAAGAATTCTATGTTTCTTGTTTTGTTTGGGTGTTTTTTTTTCCTTAGTGATGTTTTTGTTTCCTTGGTGATGTGCATGCCTTCAGGCAGGCCAGGCTGTGAGGACTCAGGCTGCCCCATGGATGTCTTTTACCCGCCTGAGCCACATCCAGGGTCATCTTCTAGTACTTAGGGTCTGAGGTTCAGTTTCGGATACCTTAGTTGGCAAGGCTAGGAGGAGAAAATGAACTGATATCCAGGATAAAAGATAAGTGTTCCAAGGGAAGCAACTCATAGTCCTTTACTTCATCCAGAACCAGTGAGAGTGTGTTCTATAGGAAGAACTTTAAGAACGTTCTTTTTATCCTAAAGAGCAAGAAGGGCCCCTTCTGCCAGATGGAGTTGCTCCGATGTAGCATAGTTAGACGTTTAGTTGTCTGTGGGACAGGTGAGCCTTCCAGAGCCTTCACCCAAGAAGACAGCAAAACCAGGTAAAGGGGAGCAGGTTGCTGTAGCTCCAGCGCTTTCTTGTCATCCTTACGGAGTTTTAATGCTTTCATAATACCTCATGAGAAGACTATAAATACTGTATTATAATATATTCTATACTGTACCACATATTTTATGTAATACTATGTTTAAAATACATGCTATACCGTTCATGTACTATATATTTGACATACAATGCTTAAACATTTTTCTTCAAAATACATTGATTCAAATATGACGATGTATTTGAGTGCTCTGGCTTAAGTCATGCTAGGAATATTAAGTCCCTGCCCTGCTCTGTTCCATTTAAATAACCTCCTGCCGGTAAGACTCATTTATAATATTGCTTTTTCCTGCTCTAATTGAGACCACAAATCCTTGCTGCTCTTATCTTTTTAATCAGTCTTTCACCAAATTTCATTTGTATTAAAATATACCAGGTGCTGCTTGCGTCAGTGAGGTGCACTTCGGGCTTTCGGATGACTTAAAACTCCACCCAGGGGCCTTTCTGAGTCGCTCTGCTTTGAGCATCCTACTGTAAGGTAGCCCCAGCTCCACCGACTCAGCAGTTTCTGCATTTTGGATGAAGGTATTTGTAAGTCATTTATACAGCTCATCAATAAGTTACAGACCTTCAGGAGAGTAGAGCCCCACAGGTTGAACCTGATATGTAAGCCCGCTGTTCCAACCTACTTTAATGTAATTGTAACTCGACTTTACCTGCTCATCTGTGTAACAGCCATTCTGACTACAACGCCATGTCTTCCTCCACAATTCCCCCAGCAGGCTATCATCATTTAGGTGGATTATCACTCAATGATGGAAAGGAATTAAATTATTGCAGGAAAGGAGATACTCAAGTGTCAAGTGCATCCACTGCTTTGTCTCTGATGACCCTCTGGTCGTTTGTATACTGATTGCACGATGGATTATTCTCAATAAGCATTGTTCTGAACCTATCTGGCTTATAACACTTGCATCATGTTCATAAGGACATGGACGCGGCATGTGCTTCTCTCTACTTCCTCAATGCTGGGCAGTACAGCAGTGCCAGGCCAACTGTCACTGTTTTAGTGATTGTGGAGACCTAACATTGGGATGGAAGGAGTTCGCCCAGGGACTGGATGCTCTTCCCTGGCCTGCTTTGTCTCCTCATACATCACAGACGGAACTATATTAGTTAGCTAATGGGCTTCTCCCACACTGTACAGAATGCTGGGATGACCCAGTTCAACTCCTCCTTATAACTCGCCCCAATCTAGTTTAGAGTCAAGCATAAATGTATGTGGATTAAATTAAATTCCTGAAAGAAACATATATTTGAAGATCTGTAAAATGGCAGAAAAGTTTACAAACTGTCATCAAGGGAAAAGCATTTTCTCTCATCCCCCAATAATAATAGAGTGTAGGACTCTTCAAAGGATTCTACATCATTCTTACTTCTACTTACTAGCACTGTGTATGTGTGTGTGTGTGTGTGTGTGTGTGTGTGTGTGTGTGTGTGTGTGTGTGCAGGTGTCCATAAAGACCAGATGTAGGCATCAAAATCCTTGGAGCTGGAGTTCCAGATGTTTGTGAGGCCTCTGACATGGGTGCTGGCATCCAGACTCTGGTCCTTTGATAAAAGCAGTAATCCCTCTTAACATCCCCAGCCCTCTACTTGGATATTAATGTATTAAGAATCTAGGGTATTGGGCTCAGTCCACACAATGAATACACACTGACTTACTAGCGAAATGATCATTTATTAGATATTATGGGTATCTTCCCATAGTATACTTCCTGTCAAACGTATGGTTTTATAATGTGTTTACAACTGAATGTAGTATTGTGATTTAGCTGGTGACCTGCACAGTATATCAGAACAGGATTTTTCTCTGTTTTCCCCATCCTTTACTCTGAATCATTCTGCTCTATTTTTGTGTCCAGCAAGCTGTACCTGTAGAAACATGACGTGAAAGTGAATATTTCCATTGTTATGATGGGAAATCATTGAAAATAATCAGCATATCTCCTGTCTTTATCTGGAGGACGAGAGAGCACAGCGAAGGTCGAGTGTCTTGATGAGCCACAAAGAGCCAATACTCAAGTAAGAGGAGAAAATAAGACTGCATGGTTTTTCTCTTGGAAGGATTTGGAGAAATCTCCTGGCCATGTGATATATTAATGAAGTCATTAGTCATCGTCCCTCACCCACCCCCAGGAGAAGAGACAAAGACAGGAAAAGGTTAGACGGCACCTTAAGGCCGCACAGTCACCTGTCAAAGCCGGAGCAGATTACATGTGGATTTCCAAAGCCTTCTTCTCAAGATTCCATTTACAAATGTTTTAATTACGTGCCTCTGTGTGTCTGCATGTGAGCCAGCGGTCAGGGAGGCCAGGGCTATCTGACATTCGGGAACTAGAGCCATATGTGGTTGTGAGCCACCAGACATGGGTGCTGGAACTGAACTCAGGCCTCTGCGGCAGGTGCTTTGAACCACTTAGCCATTTCTCCAGGTGCTGCTGCCCAAAGCCTGTTTCTTAATAAAATGAATGTGCCTGGCTTTGCTTTCTCAACCAAATCATTCAGAAATGTGATTATTAACACTATCTTAGTTTTGAAAATGGTTATTTAGCTGTAAAAATAACAGAGATGTGTATGTCCTTCACTCTCCAGTGTTCGGTTGCTCAATTTAAAAGTGTATCCCGACACTTCTTTTGAAATACTGATATGATCTTGATGTAACGTCTGTCCTGTTCTTTTAAATTGCTGAATATACAATTACTTGATCAATAATGGCCACAATCACAGCTAACAGGGACTGGTTGTTATAAAACAGCAGGCATGCTGTCCAGTGCTTTCTGTGGACCTTTGTTTCACATCAGAGAAATCGCACAAGAATACTGCAGGGAGTGAAGCTTGAGTTTCCAGACTTGCATTTTCTTAAATAGTCCAAACCTGAGGTCATCCCCCACTGTCCCCAGTTTCAGTTCCTCTGAAGTGAACGGAGAACTTAAAAACCACAAAGCAGAATTATTTTAGACTTAGGTTTTCTTTTCCCTAATAATTTACCACTCTATTCTTGACATCTAATTCTAATACTTTTGGCAATCCAACTTGACAAATCTCTTCGAAGTGTATTCACGGCAGCAGCAACTGTCTTTTATACACTTGCATGTCAGCATGCCATTGGCTTTCTTAATTTGTAATTGCATTATTGCTGGACAAGGACAATTAACACAGAAGGTCTGGAAATGAACTTAATTGACTTTTGGCCCACCTGTAACAGCACAGGCATGGCCCAAATTTACAGGTGGCCAGGAGGGCTCCTGATGTTGAGCTGGCTGAGAGCACCAGCCTGGATGTATGTGCAGGGAAGGGAGCCAGGTGTTTTGTTTCTTCGCTTGACTTTTATTGATCAGATTCGCTCTTTGACAATTCTTACAAGGAGAGAGCATATTTAGTTTACTCTTCCTGCCAGCCTGTATTAGCACTCCTGGCTCTGGCCCCTTCTCTGCCCAGGTCTCCTTCCATTACTTATGCCTCCTGGTTTTGGTCAGATCCACTTATTTTCACCAGGACCGTCTGTGGAGCCCCAGCTCCAGCGCGACGTGGTAGAGCCTGGTGTGCCCACTGTTTGAACACAACTAAGGGCAATGATTGTCCCTTCCCAAGGAACTCAAGTTGCCAACAGTTCAGCAGGGACAGCTAGGGCTCCATGGTTGGCTGCTGGTAGACCAACTCTTGTGCAGGGCAAGCACGGCTTTAATTAGGTAAATCACTGACGAGGAGGTCAGTGCAAAGAGCTATTGTATTTGGTATTTTATGTGTGTATTACTTTAACAAACTTAAAGCTAAAAATTAAAATGTAGGGAGAAGGGGGAAGACATTGAGTTTGGTTATTTTTTCTTAAGATTATAAAACTAGGGTGAATCTAGTGATTGATGCAGTGTACTGCTCTCTCTCTCTCTCTCTCTCTCTCTCTATCCCATCGTTCCTTGGGATGGAGACAACTGCATGGGTTGTGTGCACTTGCCACAGCTCAGAGAAGAGACAGGAAAAAGAAGAGTGGCTGAGGAAAAGGATTCCAGAGCAGGGAGCTCCAAGTGGGCCCAGACTGTCACAGGAGTTTTCAAAGGAGCCCGTGGTTGTTTG